GTAATGATTTGGTGAGCCCGACCCTCATCGACCGAGGCGTGGACCACTGTCCAAACAACGAGCCGCTGGACGCGCGCACGGCGGCAGTACCGGCGTCTCTGGGGGCCGGCTTCCATCGCCGACGCGCGGCGCACCCCGACAGACCTGTACACACGCGTTCAGCGGACCGAACGTGATCACCCGTAGAGGAGTCACTCATGGCTGGGGGCCGTGCTCGACACTCTCGGTCGTCGGTGCAGCGTGCCGCGGCCAGAGCTGATTTCATTCGGGAGCCGCATCGCGCTCGAAGGCACCGCTTAAGTGTATACACGCACCGGTACAGCGGTGGAACACTGATACTGTGAAGGGCTGCGTTATGTGAACACACGTTCCCGTAGATGTGGCAGTGGAGGGGGGAGGGTGTGGAATGGCTCGATATTTTTGGAGGTGCTGGTCTGGTACAGTGCTTTGCTTTTAAATGGTCGGCCGGCGTCAATGGCATATCATTGCACCTGAGCCGGTACCATAATGTGGGCTGTACTCTGACAACCATGTTTTGCGCTTTATAAGCCTATCTTTCCCGAGTATTGTAAATAGAGTAGTGCTCTAAAATATTTGTCCCATTCATCGGGCATTTTCCGTTTTAACACCAATCGGCCCCCCCCCCTCCCCCGAGAGGCTAAGCCTGTAGTCCGCACTCGAAACTGCCAGGTCGGTTTGCACGGTAGCGAGATGCTGCAGGGGCTTCCAACAGCTACGGGGTCATGCGCCGGTGGTAATGTGTGGCAGTCAGTAAGCACATATCATTAGGCATTAAGTATGAGTATGGCAAGTGTTGTATGCGTGGCACACGTTTGATTGCTCGCCAGCGACACCCTTATATGCCGATGGCCTAAGGCGGTGGGATGGTCCCCGATTGTCAGAACACTGGACCAGGCCTCGCGGCTGCCAGAGGTCACAATGATATGCTCATAATGCTGTAATGCTGTGCTTTGACGCGACAATTAACATTGAACCCACCATGGCATCAAAGTCAGAAAACAACCGTTTGGGGTCGTTACCAAGTGAGGTAAGGCCAAAGATCCGCAGGGAAACAGACATTCTTCGCGCATGAATTCCCCAACCCTTCACGACTGACGGCATTGTAATAAGCAGGTGTCATGCTGAGAGACCAGCATGTGCCAGCCATTCAACGTCAGCAAGCGCCGCGACCGTTCATCGAAAACATTGGTCGCAGTCGGACCTCTGCAGACGTGGCCCGTCACACGACACGATACCGTCACGCCAGTAGTCACGGTATCGTCACGCTAGCAGTCATAGTGCCGTCACGCCAGCGGTCCAGACTGGCACACCATTAACGGTCCAGACTGACACACCATCAGCGGTCCAGACTAGCACGCCATCAGCGGTCCAGACTGACGCACCATCAGCGGTCCAGACTGACGCACCGTCAGGGGTCCAGACTGGCACACCATCATCGGTCCAGACCGGCACCCAGCCACTGTCATCCTTCGGTCCGTTCTTTGTGGAAGCCGTTTCCAATATCTCATCGCGCTTGATCGCCCATAGAAACATTCTCTTTACATCCCGCCAATAAGCGGGACACAAAGAGATGTTCACGCGCGTGCCACGCGCACGCATGCCCACAATTCTGCAGGCATTGTATTTCATGCCTGACTGCGTGTGATATTGAGAAGCCTACAATATCATACACAATCAGGGTGATGGGCAGAGTAAAAAAGTGTCCTGTGCGGCTTACAGCTGCTGCCCTCTATCGCCAAAATGTGGGAAGACACTTATAAGATCGCTAGTGTTACTCAGCGTCACGTAAAGCCGCATTGCAACACCGACAATGGGATCAAGCGTCAAGACAGGATCAGAGTGTATGGTGAGTTGTGAAGCTCTAACTATGCCTGGCCCAAGAGGGCGCAAACACCTGCTTATTTTCTTAAGTCAGAACGAAACTTGTAGCTTAACATATTGGCTAAGACGTGACAGACTCTTTCGAGACATTCATACTGTACAGGGGTGTACATGTGGGGATTGCGGGCGCAAGATGACCCCTGCCGTCGAAGCGTCCTTAAATCCAACTATCAAGCACATGCGAGAATTGCCCTAGGAACCGTGAGTTTTACCACTTCTTCAGTTTGGGTAATAATTCATTATTTTCATAGGTGAACAGCGGGAATCGGGACAAGTTGCTTGAGATCACATTCACTCCAAGTACCAACACGCAAAGTAGGAGGCATGTAAAGACCTTTTCAATGCGTGCAGCACTCGGGAAATCCAGTGGTCTGAAGGTTGCGACCAGTGAACAACACTTTTGTGACAGACGACGTCCACGAATCCAACGCATACACACTAACAATGGGATCAAGAGATAAAAAGCAAGCAAGCGATAAGAGAGCAGGTAGAAACCATAAGCTTGAAGCATCATGTGTCTTGGGATTTGGCCTTTCCGGATCGTGATGCTGTTAAGCGCAAATTATTGAGCGTGATGTTCTGTTCGTCTGTTACTATATTTGTGCGGACCGCCGTGCAACAATAATGACACAACAACAATAACCAGCATTACATGACCAACGGGATGGCAATAGCAATACATTTGTTTCAAAGTGATCTAACGGCTATGCGGGTTTCAAACGACACAGTCCAGAGGATTTCATTGATCAAATGACCGACCCACTAGAATCTGCGAGCTCAAAGGTTAGCGGTCCGAACGGCTTTTCAGTTCGCTCAATAGCACATTTTCATCGTCCATTGGCTTCCTCGCCAATGCTGATATCCTCTCAGATGCGTAATCGGTCGTGCTGAGCTGGAATATCAAACGAACGGGTCAGACAAAGTAATCAGATATGCATTCTTAAGAGAGAGTAGCTTAGATGAACGCATTGATTGAGAGATGAAGGCTCAAGGGCACCTGCCTGGAGAACATCATGACTTGAGCTATTTTCTCATTTCTAAGTTCGGCATTTTTCCGCAGAGTTAGCGCAGTAATTGCAACTGACGGCATCTCTCCACCTACAGCGGCAATCCATTCGACTAGTCGCCGCCAGCTGAGTTCTCCGAGCGTGCGCAATACAACGACAAAAGGCATAATTGGGTTGGTTTCAGTCATTTGTCGACCAGTAGTTGGCCGGCATCCTGTCAGACATCGTTTACCTTTCAGATCGACCTGATTCGCTTTCGGTGGAGACTAAACAACCCACAAACTTTCACCGGGCAGCACAGGCTGTCGTGGATTATCGATGCCGTTGGAATGCATCGCATGCGCGTGTCGCGTACCGCTCCGGCCGGCCGCTAGTCGTCGTGCGCTATTCCCAAGTAGCTGTCCTCTGTTAGTCCTAGTCACATGATGTTGACGTGGCGACATCATGCGGGAGAGAATAGGCACAACTATTGCTCTGTTCCTTGTACCGGGTGTCACACACACAGCACCGTGGATCAGGAGCTGAGGCAGCGTCGCCGAGCTGCTGCAGGCCAGCCCTTTGTCCGTCGCAGGCGCGCCGTGACTGTCGCCTCCATTTCGCCCGATTGGAGCCCTGCTTTATTCGACCCACACCCCGCCGCCGGCCACGGAACCCCGCCAGAGTCCAATCTTGGGCTCGGCGCACCGATGTCAGTCTCGACCCGCTCGGGATCGTCGCGCTCATTACGGCTCCGCATGTAATGTGACTAAACGCTCTTTTATAAAATTCCAAACGGAAGGCCATTGAAGCGGAGCACTTGTGCAGTGCCAATTTTGAAGTACAGCCTGAAATATATGTGATCGCATGACTGGCGATCGGTCTTAGCAGCGCGTCAATAAAGTGGCTCACGAGTCGAAGGTTCGCCATCTTTCCAAAGCGCAGGCTGTAATCAACTGTCGTGGATGCGGAGAATGAATAATTATACTCGTGAAGTGCTCGCTTCATATCGTTTATTTTCGTGTGCTGCAATCATAAAATTGTATGCTCCGCGTCCACCTTGAATCGGACCAGTTCGTGCGCGGGGGTCACCGTGAAAGGCTGGCCACACAGTGACCCTTCGCCCCGCTCCTTCTCAGAGCCCATCCCCTCCGATCGCCATTCTGCCCGAAACAGGGTGTTTGGAGGTGGATGGGACAATTTTGCTCATCAAAACATCTTTCGCGAAGGAATATGCAGGAATTTCGTCACCTAATCTGTTCATCTCTGGACGGACAATGGATCATTACAGGCACCGAGTCAACCAGAAGATGTTTTGCTACTTGGTGACGTCTAGAATGAGGAGAAATGTTGGAAGTCCCAAATGCCTTTCCGACCACAAACAAATATATGACGCCAGCAAGAATGGCGTTTGGTGCTTTATGCGTTGTTCTACCGCGCTATAACACTGACATGCAATGCTGACATACTGGTAGGCGGTGATGATGCGAATTTCCCTTAGTGTCCGTATTTAAGCAGAAACATAACATAGATAATGTGACGTAAGAAAGCAGCGACTGTTGGGAAAGACCATTTAAATTGGCTTGCTCTATAATACTCAACGCATTGAACAATGCAGATAATTTCGTCAAAGAAGCAATCACCCAAGCAAGGCTATCAAAACTGCCGAGGCTGCTGCACCGGATCTTTAATCTTCCGTGGTTCCGGCGCCATTAGTTCCATTTCCGGAATGGTCGATTGTGACGCGGCATTGGCATGGGGTTCGAG